TATATATATATATATATATATATATATATATATATATATATATATATATAAATATATATATAACAAAATTATCTGAGAAAAAAAAAAAAAAAAAAAAGGAAGAAGAGATTGATGAGTTCTCTCTTGTGATGGATGGTGATGAAGATATCCTTCACAATCTTTAAAGGTAATGATACATCTTTCGAGAAGAGTTAGTTTTTAGATTCTGCTTATGTTACTCATGTTTGCTTGATTCACTAAATGGCAGGTTGACTAATATGTTGAGTCTAGATGATGATTCCATGATAGAGGCGATGGGTGTTGATAAAACATGACTAATATGTTGAGCCTAAAACACTCCCTCGTCACTTGTTGGGAGGAAGGAAGGAGCCTCACTCACTATTGCACCATTCTGCAGCCAAACCATGTCTGGTTTTGGACTATTCTCGTATGCTGCAGCATCTTAGCACCTTGCAACTATTGTAGAAGAGACACATATCTAAGTAAAACTATCGTAGAAGTCTTGACTTAAGGACTTTGTAATAGCTTAGAAAATATCTTTAAATTCGTAGTTATAACCCAAGTAGGGGCCAATTTGGCCCAAGTTCGGACTGGTTTGGGCCAAGTTTGGAGCCCAACCAGTGAGCTGAAGAGACCTGGGCGGTGGCACCGCTTGACTGGGCGGTGGCACCGCCAGTCCACTGTTAGTGTCAGACACTGACAGGCGGTGGCACCGCCGGCCTCGGAAACCCAAGAGAATTTAAAATTTGGAGCCCAAATTTGAATCCTCTTGAGGCTTATAAATACCCCCCATTTCTCAGCAGAGAAGACAACCTATTGAGAAGCTAAAAGTTGAGAAAAGCTTTAGGAAAAGTCTTGTTTTCAATAGCTTGAGTGTTCACCTCCTTTCTTTTCATTGAAATCTTTGTAAAAGGGTGAACCACTTGTAAGAGGTTGTAAGAGGGGTGTAAGAAGAAGGTCGATCTTCGCCTAGTAAAGGAAGATCATTAGTGGATGTCGGTGGTCTCGATGGAAAAGGAATCGGAGGAGTGGATGTAGGTCACGATTGACCGAACCACTATAAACTACCGTCTTCTCTGGTTTGCATTTACTTCCTGCTATTACCTTATTACAAATCCCTTCAATAGCTTACTACCTTCAAGTTAAAACGTAATCGAAACGGTTTCAAACGAAACGTTGCTTTTATCGTACGAAGTTTCCGAAAGTGTTTAAATCGTCGAAAGTTTATCATATTTTACCGTTGCACTAATTCACCCCCCCCCACCCCCTCTCTTAGTGCCGCTCCGGTCCTAACACATACAATATCATCTATCTTACACAAATTATATTTCCCATACTAACATAATCAAGTGACGACCATTCATATTGTCGGCTCAGCAAATAGGATACATTAACAGCCTTAACGAATTCGGCCAACGTATTGCAAGAAGAAGAATATGATCCATAACAAATGGTCGTCTCCAAGACCAACTCGATCAAGACTCGAGTGAGTGATCAACAAATATTGAACTATGAATTTTGAGAAGACATGTAAAAAACTGAAGAACACAAAGCACCACTGGATAGATGGTCGTGTTTTCAAAATCATTTAGGTCTCAACCTGTATGATTTCCAGATAGGATGTGGAGAAACAAAAAGAGTACAACGGATAGCATCGTTAATCCAAAAGGAGTAAGCAGAGATATACGGCGATGTAATTAGATACACAGTCGCAGAGAGACAAAAGGAACTTTTCTTTAGAATCATTGAACTCCTCCACGATATGATACCCAAAGAAGATTAGAATGGAAGGGAGGACACAGTTGGAGAAGGTATCGTTAGCAAAAGGGACATCCCCTCCCGACAAGATTCCTGAAAACATCGACCATTGATGTGAAAGAAGAAGATAGATCGGACGAAGAAGTAGCGATGATTCGAAGCAGGATGGAGAGTTTACCTCAAGTCGAAGGGATTTTCACATCAGCCCCCTCCAGCCCTCCATGCGAAAACCTACCAGGAAGGATGGTCAATTCTTGGCCCCGCCAGAGAAGAGAGAATTGGGGAAATGGAGATTCGTATATCGTTAGAGTCAGTGCATTGAATGGTGGAGCCCACCCAACTGCCCCCGTCCGTCTCCCTTCACCACGTCGTACGCTGATCTGATTTCTGGGTATTTGGTAAAATGATCCGCCACCAGTCACACACTGTTCCCTCCTTATATTCTTTTCCTGCTTGTTGCCGAGGCGTTGGTTCGAACGGTCGGTTGCTGGTGTGGGGAAGCATGGCCTTAGGCGTGTGGTCTCCCTCGCTGATTGATGTGGTGTTGTTTGCGATCGCAGCGGTGGTGGTCTGGAAATTGGAGAGGAGGAGGAGGAGGGGTTGGGCGACGGGGCGGTTGCCGCCGGGGAGCGAGGGGCTGCCGGTGGTAGGGGAGACCCTGCAGCTGATCGCGGCGTACAAATCGGAGAACCCGGAGCCGTTCATGGACGAGCGGGTACGGCGGCATGGGCGGCTGTTCACCACGCACGTTTTCGGGGAGCGCACCGTGTTCTCGGCGGACCCGGAGTTCAACCGGATGGTGCTGGGGGCGGAGGACCGCACCGTGGAGGGCAGCTATCCGTCGTCCCTCTCCACGCTGCTGGGCACCCACTCCCTCGTCGTGATGAAAGGCGCCCGCCACAAGCGCATGCACTCCCTCACCCTCGCCCGCCTCACCTCCCCCGCCGCTATCCGTGAGGCCAAACTCCTTCTCCATATCGACCGCCTCGTCCGCCGCACCCTCGACTCCTGGCCCTCCTCCTCCCCGGTCCTCCTCCTCGACGAGGCCAAGAAGATCACCTTCGAGCTTACCGTCAAGCAGCTGGTCAGCTACGACCAGCACAAGTGGATCGAGTCCCTCCGCCACGAGTACCTCCTCCTCATCAATGGCTTCTTCTCCATCCCCTTCCCTTCCTTCCTCTCCTTCACCACCTACGGTCGTGCCCTGAAGGTAAAACTCTATATATATATATCGCATCTTCGTGTCTATATCGACGCTCACAAAAGGAACAGGCTAGGAAGAAGGTGGAGGAGGCGCTGAAGGAGGTGATAAGAAAGAGAAAGCTGGAGAAGAAGCCGACAGGAATCGACGTCGACGTCAAGGAAAGCCAGAATAACACGAAGAAAAAAGACATGCTGGAGGAGCTGTTGGAGGGAGAAGCGGAAGGGATGACGGACGAGGCGATAGTGGACTTCCTGCTGTCGTTGTTGGTGGCGGGATACGAGACCACGTCCACCATCATGACCCTGGCCGTCAAGTTCCTCACCGACCACCCCCGAGCCCTCGCGCAGCTCAGGGTGCGGTGCCTTGCTCCAGCTCCATTCTGCTGCTGCTGCTTGCTTCATATCTACTGAACACAGCATTACTTTGTTGCAGGAAGAGCAGGAAGGGATACGGAAGCAGAAGAAAGACGAGGAGGCGGCCTTGGACTGGGATGAATACAAGTCCATGCCCTTCACACAGTGCGTAAGTCTCTTTCTTCTATCTTCTGGTTTACCTCTTCGTTGATTGGGATCCAAGTTGCACTGTGTTACGTGTCGTTTGTTTGTCCACTGAAATCAGCATACTTTTAATTATATTAAGCAGAAAAACTCGTATTTACCCTTAGAAATAAATAAATAAATAACATGTGTATTTATGCAAATCTAACTCATATCCAAATTCAAACTTTCCTACTATAGCTCACAAAATAGCCATTTATATCGAAACATCCATCCGCTCAAGTCTCGATATTAATTAATTATATCAAATTAATTAACTTGTCTGCCTATAGGCTTAATTATTTTTTTAAAATCAAATATGATTACATGATATATATATATATATAATTTTATTATAAATAAAAAGAGGATGATAGCAATAAGAGAGTAGAAAGTAATAATTTAACTTATTTTGTTTTGTCCTCAAATTAAAAAAAAAATTATTTAAATGTAATTCTTTATAACAAATAAAGAGTTAGTGACTTGATCTAATTAGTGAATCAAATTTGACACTGTAGGATAGCTTGAATGTACATCCGATTGGAAATCAATTCAATCCAAAAATTTAAAATTTGAACTCGATATTTATAATCTGATTCTTTCTATTCTTAACTCTATAAAACTATCCTCTCAGTTTTCTTACTTGAAAGGTTATAAAAGATCAATGTTTTTTTCGGACAAAGGTTCGTCTTCTAAAGCTAACAGATAACTTTGATTGCAGGTGATCAACGAGACCCTTCGAGTGGTCAACATCATTGGCGGAGTGTTCCGGCGAGCCAAGACAGACCTCCATTTCAAAGGTAGACAAGCCCAAGCCTTATCTACTCCGATCGCTGCTTGTTTCTCCATGTCGCTCAAGTTCTCTTTGCAGGGTACACGATTCCCGAGGGGTGCAAGGTCTTCCTCTCCTTCCGTGCTGTCCACCTCGACACCGAATACTTCGATGACGCCCGGACCTTCAACCCCTGGAGATGGCAGGTATAGGCACCGCGCGCCTTTCGGCGATGAGATATGCCGATGAGGCTCGAGGTGTTCGATGGCTGAACTCACTCACTTGTTTGGTGTCGGGCTTTTGTGCAGAAGAATGCAGCGGCGCAGCAGGTCGGGGGGGCCACTGTCTACACCCCCTTCGGCGGGGGCTCGCGGCTGTGCCCCGGCTATGAGCTCGCTCGGGTGGTCATATCCGTCTTCCTCCATTACCTCGTCACTCGATTCAAGTACGTGGGTATGAGCATGCATGGTGTATGTAGTCTTACCATCACATATTGACATTGAAATCCTTGACCTTTGTACCCAAATGGGGCCACAGTTGGGAGGAGGCGGAGAAAGATAGGCTGGTGTTCTTCCCCACCACAAGGACTCTCAAGAGCTATCCCATCAACGTCTGGCGGCGCGAGGAGGAAGAAGGAGCATGAGTCGCACGGCAGTGAGCTGCCATTCCCCCGCTTTCCGTATCAGCATTGCTCAGGCTACCATGTAATAGGTGGGACCGTGAAGCTCCTTCTTACTCAAATAGTTCCTCCCCACAAGGCTACCCGTTATAATATGCGATGGACATGTCTATGAATTTTTATATATTGTAGGATAATTTATCCAATAAAATTCCCTCTCTTTTGTGGGAAGTATCCAAATTTGGGTGATTGGATAAGTTGGCTTTTGGTTAAATAGGGATCATGCTCGGTCTCACGACCATAGATCAACATCTCTCTCTCTCTCTCTCTCTCTCTCTTCGGAGCAGCGCACTCTTGATTATTTGTGCAGCAGAATAGTATTGGCAATCAGCACGAAGGTATAATAACAAATTAGGAAGCAGATTGATTACTGCAAATTTAACCAAGCATATCAATTTCAACAAGCCCAGTGGATCTCAGATTATAACCTGATGCATCATCCAAATTCCAAACGTTGGCATCCTCTCAGATTAATTCCAGAACTTGGTTGTTTGGGCTGATCCATTCACCTTTAGGCATTCCGAGACCAACAACAACTAGGCAGCATGACAAATCTTGTTTTTCCTATTTTGTGCTTGCATCAGCTACCCTCTTAGCAAGAATGCTAATCCATAGCAGAAATCGTAAGTAGTCCAACGATCCAGCAAAGATAGATTTGCAAAAAAATGTATCAAGACATACATACATACCGTCCAACCCCACACATGTAATATCAAGATTTGCCTTTTACATGCACATACATGGGTCATCCACATGGAGAGAGGTTAAATTACCGAGTTGTACAGGAAATTTTTTACGCTTCACAATGGAGAGACCATCGAAACAAATTAAAAAGTGTCTAACTCTAATGCTACTAATCCATACTCGAGTTTCCCGATGGACCCAATGAGCGCGAAAGATATCCGAGTGACGTACCAACGAGTGCCACGCAGACCACAGACAAGATAGAAAAACCAACCTCAACTCTAGATGCACGCTTCCTTCTCACCACAGCCTGAAAGGAGAAAAATGCACCACTAAGAAGATTAGAAACTTGCAACAACGACATTCTATCCAAAAACATGTGATCTACCAAAAGAACTACTCGTCGTGCTGATTAGTAGCCCTTCTAGAAACTCTGACTCTAAGATCTCTCCAAGAATGGGAATAATACCATGCATGTTGAAATTGTATATAGCTCATGAAGCAACCAATTTCAAACTGATAAGCATCTCATCATCATCATCAGATTCAGATGGAAGGATGCCACAGCCTAATATGCATCCTCTAATGGAATTTGTTCACCCAGTGTCAATTAGGTTGGGAAGCAGCTCCAAATTGCAAAAGTTATCCATTAAAAAGATGAGGAAAAACCCTTCAGATGAAAGATTCTTTGTTTTAACCCTCAACTGATTCTTAAAAGGCATGGTTAGTAAAAGATAAGAGCCAAACCAACCACACATCTACGCAGAGCTCTAATTTATGGCAAAGTTTTCCAGCACTAAAAGACATTAATTAGCTTTACTGCATATACTAAGCAATCAGGCCAACATTTTTAGGCTTCATATCCCTGCCACATAAGATTTAAGAGCATAAGGGTCATAAATTTGCTTTCAAAAGAAATGAACTCACAATTTCATGTAGAAATTTCTCTCTCAATAGATTGGCTGCACTATTCTCTCCCCTCAGATTTGTTATTGTCTTCTCAGCCTGCAAAAGTTTGTCTCTTAGACAACAAAATTATTGTCTTTCTTAAAAGAAGATGGAATTTAGCATCATTTCCCAAAATATAATACTATCAATTCCAATATTACAAATACAAGCAGAAACAGGATACAGGATGTAGAACAAGAGCAACTTAACTTTAATATATGACTGTTTAAATTAAGGAAATACAAAATCACATTTTAGTTAGAAATGAGCATGATGTATGCAGTAAACATAGTCAGTTTCTGAACATTATTTATGGCTGTACCTCAAAGACATTTACTAGAAGAACCTTAAATGATGAAATGATGACCACAACTGTTCATGGTCTTAAATAGTTCTGCACAGTGCACACCAATGGTCTAAACACCAGTTCAGATAGGCGGCTATAAGATCAGTCAGATACTAGTATAACATATGGTATACCGGCATCTACAATCCAATATGTAACAATCCGATTAGTCTCACATCGGAAATGGGCTAAGACTTGACTTATAAGGATCCAATAGATATACCACTAGTAACTTCAGCTTAAGCATTTTGAGCCAGTGATTCAGGCTCAACGAAGTTAACAAGCCAATTATTCCATCAGATCAAGTCGTGACAATTGATATCAGAGCCAACCTAGCATTGGAGCATGGTGAGGGGCTCGAGTAAGACAAGCTACCTATGGACAAGGTCAGAGGACACATCATGGCATAGAGCCACCACTGGGTTATGCTTCACATGCATCATTCTAGGGTTTGATTTGGGCTATGCTTAGGCTTGATTTAGCCTAGACGAGGATGTTAAGCCCTTAAGTGGGGAAGATTATAACATCCCGATTAGTTTCATATAGAAAGTAATCGGTGTACTACCGATAATTTTAGCTTAAGTATTTTAGATCAATGGTTCAAGCTCAACGAAGTTAACAGGTCAGTTATCCCATTAGGTTGGGTCATGACACAATGTCATTAAAAAATAATGAAAACATAAATACCGAAATACTAACAATGTATATGTACCATTATCAGTTGCTAATTGGACCTGTAAATATCGGGCAATACACATCGATCTAACCAATATTTAAACCTTATAGTACACAACAAATTTCCACTCTATCATGCCATGGGACAAAAGTGAGGTTAAGCATCGTGCACAAGAGATAGTAAAACACATGACTTACCCATTCCAAGATAGATGGAATGAAAAGGTGATTGGAGAGGAAGGGCAGTAGCATGGGCCACAAGAGTGATACCTTGCCATGCTCCATCCAATAGCATGCCATCTGGTGTGGCTTAACCACAGGAAACAGGTGGGAAAAGTAAAACTTAGGAGATAGATGCTAAAACCAAAGTATAGCTACATGATGCAATAAGAAACATTATAAATAACACTAAACAAAGGCACCAGATTAATATAGCCAGCATACTAAAACTAACAAACATCATTTAGCTTCACTTCAAGGCTGTTGAGCTTCAGTTTAAACTCATCAATATCTTTAGCAACCTGGACAAACATCAACCAGATTAACCAGCTCAATCAGAAAAGGGGAACGTGAGAAGTGCAGTATCATGTATAAAGAGACCATTTCAACATTGACAAGGCAAATAGCTTTAAGAATGATCATAGCATAAACCAAATGACATTATAATCTTAAAAAGCAAAACATGATAGAACATCTGTTTACAAATTCAAAATTATTTGGTATATCCAAACTATAGTAATTTGTGTAAAAACTGCAAATATTTATATAATCAAAAGTAAGATCATTTTGAAGGAAAAACAGCAACAGAAACATTAATCACAGTAGAAAAATTATTTACATGAGTTGAGTTGTAATCCGCTAGTCCACTCAGTGCTTGGTCACTTGAAATGTCAGTCTCTTTAGACATAGGCTTTTCATGAATTGGCTCCTCTTTCACAGCCCCATTGTTTAAAGTAGAAGCCTTGAACTCCAGCCATTTGTAATCCATACATCTATCAGTTGTGTTTTTCCAGGGTCAGTCTCGTCCATGATAAAGAAGATGATGAATAGAGAACAAATATCAATTGCGCTTAAATCCCACAGCTAAAATTTCAAAAGAAATCTTCAAAATATACAAAAGGCCGCATGTACCCTACAGTCTCAACATTCATCAACTTGGCAATGAAACCATGAATCAACAACCCAAACAGGAAATGCATAAGCCAGAAACTTAAAAATCCTTGCTCTAAACTTAACAAATCAAATTGCCATGCTTATGCATCATCTTTTCTCATTCCAGTAAACAACATTTCATGCTGAAGAAACTTTAGACAGGCTAAAAGCATCACGATATACACTTACATCAAGACAATTTCCCAGAAGACTATCAGATCATGAAACAACCCATCATACGCAGTCGATGAAGACACATAATTCGTCCCTTTAAATGAGAAAAAAAAAACTTCTTTGGACAGCAGAACAGCTGACATTAAGAAAATGTTTACAGGACTCGATGGTTTTCTACCCGATCCACTCGTTACATAATCGAGCTCATCACACAGCGCGACTATAGTGTCCCTTGTCCTTAACGAACGAGCAAAATCTACCAATCGAGAACATGAAGCAACTTACATGTAAATCTAAGTTCTTCAGGCTGGATTTCCACGAGCCCGTCACCCGCCCCCATCGCGCTTTCTTCGTCCTCAAGTCCAGATGAATCCACAACAAGTGCCAAGACCAAGATCCAAGATCGGAGAGGTAAGAGAGAAAGGAAAAGGAATTAATGGCAACGGGAACTACTCGTGATGGCAGATTGGCTTCCGGATCGCACTGCGGCAGTATAAGGATGGCGTTCAGCACTCGTATTCCTCCAAAATAGGGACCGAGGAAGTGGAAGTATAGGGGGCGAGACGGGTGCCGACTTCGAAGGGCTGGAAATGGGCTCCAGATGGGCCACACCGATCTGAGCAGAGGAAGTGAAGTATCGAGGGAGAGATGGGCGTTGACTTCTGAGGGCTGGAAATGGGCTCCGTATGGGCCACACTGATCTGAGCCTAAATTGGGGACGCTTTTTTTTGTTCACATTGCTCGACTCAAAACGGGTCGGATTTTGACCCACGTAGACATCAATCCATTTTGGGATGAATACGGGTAGGGTTAAGGTGTATTTTAGTCCATGTAATTTTGATCATAAAATTTTTAAGTTATTAATATTTATTCTATCTAAAATAATCTCTATATTTTAAAAAATATAGCATATAAGTCCAGTCTAAGTTAACAAACATAAGAATATGCTTACATGTTGATTCACAATAAATCATTAATATAATGACACAAGTAATTTAAGTTTTAAAAATAATAATAATATGTGGATTTGAAAATATTGTTCAGTTGTCTAATCAATTTCCTTCGAAACGAGCCTTTCCACAATCTGGAAAGCAACATGCTGGCCTTGCCTCGACATTCGTCATAGAGGGAGGAGCCTTTTAGCACCTGCAGTGGCTGAGAAGACCACAATGGAGAGTCGATCTCCTAGGCCTAAAGAGGAAATCACTAACTGTATTACACGCTTTAGCATCCGAAGCTTCTCCCATGTTATGCCTTAACTCATGTTTAACATCATCACCATATCAATCGGGGTACAGAGAAGGATGAAGAATCCTATCGGTGGTGTTATTACCTTAAGAGCCACCACGTAGCTTTGGTGCATTCACTTTTCTGAGAGTAGGGCTGTCTACGACATTACGCTCACAAGGCCGCCACCAACCCTAAACCTTGATGTTGGTCGACGAAGAACTCCTCTGTCAGTGCGGTTAGTAGATTGAGCGCAAGGGGCCACAAGGAGCCCATAGAACTTATCCTCTCATTTCACGTCTTTCATCTCCTCGACGTCGCTGTAAGCTTCATCATTCTTATCATCTTAATATCTCGTCACTTAAAATGGTCTAACCTGTTATATGTAAGCATGTAGTTTTTATTCCTTGTAGATATCTATTACTTTATTTATAGTTTTACAATATAATAGACTTCCAACTATGTATAGCTTTTCAATATAATAGCTTTCTTTATATCTATTACTTTCTTTATAACTTTTCAATATAAAGATATTTCTTTATAGCATATAATACACTTTCAACTATGCATAAAGGATATACTTCATTTGATTTCTTTCTAAATCATTCTTAGGACACTGATTTAATTTTTCACCTCTAGTAATAGGTGTATCATTAGTTAAATAAAGTTACATATACATTTCTTCAAGATTTGTTTGATATATTCTTTCTGAGATAGTCATAACAATCCTTAAGATTTATTCTAAATATCTCAATATTAATAACATTAGATACCTCATTTATATCAAATATATTAAAATTCTTGATGAGAAATATCTTGGTATCATATAATAAATTAAGATAACTATTTACAAGCAAAATACCATCTATATATAAGATCAATATAATAAATTTACTCTTATTAATATTTAAATATATACACTAATCAATCTTTTTTTAAATACAAAAAATACATATTATAAACCTTTATATATTATTGTCCGAAAGCTTGTTTAAAAACATAAATATATTTTTGAGTATATTTATTCGAATATGAATCATTCGAATCTAAATTCTTACTTAGAAATATTATTTTCATATCTATTCCACCTAACTCAAATATCATAATAAGTTACTAGTACCATAATCTTTTTTAGAAACTAAAAAAAATCTCAATATTTATATATATAATATAAACCCATTTCGACGTGAAGAGGACTAATAATTTTGGGTCAGCAATGTATTATTATTGCACAGCATGGAAGTCTGTCCTTTTTGAAGAAGTGGAATTGACATGGAACTGTTTCTGCATGCACGCTTCAACGCGAGGAAGGAAATGTCTGAGGAAGAGGGCAATGATAGCACTTGTCGTGTTCGAGAGACACAAGCCATGTTCTTCCCTGCAAAAGCTGCACTCTTCCGACGCGGCAATATAATGCTCCCATGCAATGTAGTTGAAGCAACATCGAGCTGCCATTATATGCTGCCTGCTGCTTCAAGAAAGGCAAATGGTAAGGCAAAGGAACAGCTGAGGCTTGACTTGGAATCATCACCTTTCTCTTTCTCAAGAGGTCACCTGCAGCTTAGCTGTCGATGCAGTAGCTTCTACGTTTGTTCTTGTTTCTGCATGTGTGAGCTACTCAGAATCCATTGTCTTGATTGGTCTGGAACTCATGATGAAAAAGTCCTCTTCGTTGGTGAGTGCATGCAGCTTCTTTTGGCGACACACCGATGCATGGTTTTGGAGCAAAAGCTGGATCTCTCATTTTGCTCCTCCTGTTGTCTGTCTCAGAAGTTTCAGAAACAGGATGAAGAGAGAGAGAGAGAGAGAGAGAGAGAGAGAGAGAGAGAGAGTTCTCTTTCCTTAGGGGGGCACAACTCCTTGGCTTGCAAGGATCACCAGTTACCGCAGAAGAGAGAAGGAAGTGCAATCCCAGCATCCAGTAGTGCTTCGGCTACAAACAACCATAACATGTAGTAATGGCAAAGCTATGTTGTTGGCTCCTCAGAATAAATTAGAAATAAATGAGGAGATAGAGACTCTGTCAGGCATTTAAGGGTTGGCATTGTGTTGGCGTAGGAGGAGAATCTACCCATGCACTTATGTTCAAATGAGAGAAGGTGCAACTAAAGCCTGATGTGCCATATTAACCATATGAGGTTGATTCAGTTGGAATACATCTGGTGCAGCAGCCTAATTAATGTATTATTGATCCAAAGGATCAGATCAAGTCGAAAATAGTTAGCTAATTCCATATTATTGTGGGTGTTGTAATAAGCCATTCTGAGAAGAAGATTTTCATACCAAAATACAAGATATAAAATTAATAATAAAAACATTAACGACACTCCTTATACAATGTATGTTGATGGTAAAATATCCAAATCTTTCTTCTATTGAGAATAAAATACCGAGTTATACACCTCTAATAATGCTTAAGTTTATTCTCTGTATTCTCTCCTCTAAGTTAATCTTAATTTTTTTCATACTTGAATTCTTTATTTTCCATGCATTTCTCTTTGCTAAAGAGAAAGGCAAAATTACTCACCCATTCTAACCAAACAAATATGGCTAACCTATTCTTTAATTTAGCTTCAATTAATCGAGTTAAATTAGAGGGCTAAACCAATTAAGCTAGAGAGAGAAAAATCCTAAAAAGTATAATTATATCATTTATGGACAAAAGGTTATTATGGGCAACAAAAAGATGGAATTAAGAGAATTGGATGCTTTTCCTTAAAAAAAAAAAAAGTCCTTTTTTTTTTTTTGTTTCTTAAGAAGCATTACCTACCTTACTTTTACTCAAAAAAAAATAGTGTCCTCCTCCTAATTTAAATAATATCTAAAATATCTCTTATCAACCCCAATGGTACTTTTTTTCATTATTTTTTCATCAATTATAAATTATTACAGTGTTTTTATTTTACTCATTTATAGTATTTTTAGTAAGGTCCTAAAAATATTATAAAACTATTTAAAGACATTATAAGTGATATCGTATTATGCTTTTTTTGGTTGTCATCGCTCGTAGATCGTTACAATGTCATATTTTTAATCTTATAATTGGTTCGGTTGAGGTTAGAAGTTTATTTTTATTATTTATACTAATTTTAAGTAGATTTTATAATATTTTTATTGCGGTGGCTAAAATAATGTAACAAACTAATTTTTTATCCCTATTTGGGTGATGTTATTCCTAAACTATTATAAATATTTATTTGAATCATATATTAAATTATTTCTTCACTTATATTTTTTTATAATATTTTTGTTGAAGTACTAAAAATATTGAAAAATATTGTAAGTGATATCATATTATTGCTCTCTATTTGTCATTGCCCATTGACCATTATGATACTAAATTTTGAGGCTTGAAGTTGATTTGGTTGATGTTATGGATCTATTTGTGTCGTTTATAATGCTTTCGAGCAGACTTTATAGTATTCTTATTGTGATGATCAAAATATTATAATAAATTAAAATACTATAATAGACCAAAATACTGTAACAACAACATTTGAGAAAAATAAAAATGGAAAGGACAATCTATTTTAGAAAATTCAACTCTCATACACGTTGGATAAATAGAAATAAAAAATAATAATTTAATTAACATGAGAAAAGATATAAAAAATGAAATGAAATGAAATGAAGGATTCATTTGCATTCGAGGGATGTAAGATTTCCACTGAACCCAAAAACTCCTTTCCCTCTTACAAGTCGGTAACCATGTTTTCTATACCGCCTTTGCTGGTAACACAAGTGAACTCCAAGGCCAACAACCATGTGCTCTCCGACACCTGTCCCATCTCTCGCAATCATTAGCATTGCAAGCCGTACATACCAACTGTAGCGAGAGAGAGAGAGAGAGACAATATAAAGAAGTAATCTCCGTTCCTCCTCCTTCAAGTCCATTCAAAGAATAGGACGGAGATTTGACTCTCTGCGTGTAAAAGAGAGAGAGAGAGAGAGAGAGAGAGATGAGGGAAGAGGTGGTGGTGATAGTGGGAGCTGGGCAGTCCGGCTTGGCGACGGCGGCGTGCCTTACGGCGCTGTCGGTGCCGTGCCTCATCCTCGAGCGCGACGACTGCGTCGGCTCCATGTGGCGCAACCGCTGTTACGACCGCGTCGCTCTCCACCTCGCCAAGCAGTACAGCGAGCTGCCGCACGCGCCGCACCCGCCGTCGGCCCCGACGTACCTGCCGAAGCGGGACTTCATACGCTACCTGGACGACTACGCGGCGCGGTTCCGCCTCCGGGTCAGCCTGCGCCGCAACGTGGAGTCGGCGGAGTACGACGAGGCGGCCCGGAGGTGGCGGGTCGTGGCG